GATGGCTCGACATCGGGCGTCGTGCATTGTCACGCATCCCATTTAAATGTACACACAAGTAAACGATGTTGTCGATGGCATGCGTGAAGGGCAGAATCACCTATCGCTGGAACGCGAGGAGCCATCCACGTTGGGGAAGGCCTTCGCTATCGCCATGGTTGAAGACTTTGGAGCTACCAAGGCCTACACCAAGCCTTCAAACGTTAATGCTGTCAGATCAGCGGGTTTGGAACCCATGGAGATTAATGTAATTGAGGCGTTGAATGACCGACGACGTGTTACGTATTACAAGAGCGACGTCCGTAGCGGACGTCAGATGATCAGCTTTCGATGTCGAAAGCCAGGACATCGCGCGGCTGATTGCCGCGCGCCAGCACCAATGTCAGTGTATGCGACAGATACCCATCATGAGGGAGGTGCTTCGCCCCCTCGTAAAAGAACGGACGAGACCAGTAGGTGCAGGGCGCCCTATTTTTCTGGAGGGAGGTACGGGTCCACCGGTGGCAGCTCTACCTCATAGCCCGTCTGTGCTGCGTGCACGATTCAATGCCACCACTACGAGTGGCGATTTACGCCTAATCATTCTCAGTCTGCACGTCGCCGGTGTTTGGCGACCTCTATGAGCGCTCCTGGATTCAGGGGCGACAGAAAATTTCTTCTGTGAATTTTGTGTCGTTGCTGCCACCCAGCATCCAGGTCCGCGAGGGGCCTGGCGAAAGTTGTCGTCAAGCTCGCGGACGAAAAATCACGCCGTGTATCGCGACGCGAAGTGTCGCTCCCGTACAAGTTCGACGGCTTTCGCAGCAACGACAATTTTTGGTGAATGAGATGAATTATGCAGTCTAATGCATCGTGAGCATGCCATGGTTGGCAAGCCCCAGATTGACTAGTTAGCAAGATCAGTGAGACGTCGACGCAAGCTCGATGTCAGCTAAGTGTTTACCCATCTTTTGGTGTCCCCAAGTGATTGGCTAGACATCGTAGTTGTGGATCGTGATTATACCACACCGTCGGTGCACAGAGCGAGCGATGGCCTTCTAAGCACCGCTTGTGCCGTTCTCATGAAAGAAAACAACATTATCTGCTCGCTTTGCAGCGAGGAGTATAACGCGGACGAGCAGTGCTTCCCACACAAGGACGACGCATGCGAACAGTAGCCTCTGCTCGAGGAAGGCGCGGTAGAAAAGGGGTTCCCGCACTAGACTGCAGTGGTAGGACCAGGGTTCCCACCTGCACAGATTGTGGTGGATCAAAGACTCCTACACAACCAAGATGAGGACGATCAAGAGCTCGTCACCGAGTGCGACGTGGACGGACAGGAGTCCCCACGTCAGAATATGATGGCCGAACATTGGTTTTCACCGTCACCACTGTGGTTGAATCGGGGTTTCCACATGGGCAATTTGTGGTAGAGCAGGGGCTCCCACACGGGGTTACAGCGGTCGAGCAGGAGCTTCCGCTTCAAGCTTCGACGGACGAGTACGAGTTACCCCCGTGACGCGATTTCGACATCCTGGATGAGGACATCCAGTTTTCAAAGGGGGGGTGGTGCATTGTGATTAGCTGCGGATCGCCAGCTTCGAGCATGATCTCGAAGCACGATGAGGACGCAAGCATCAAAAATACAGCGTCGGAATGCTTCCACGCTGTTGTGTACGTAGACGGGAGTTCGCAAAGGCGACAATACATTGAAGTCGCGAGTCCACCCCACGACGCGTCTTCGATTCGGAGGCTTCAGGGCTCTCCTAAAAGCATTTCTTTCGGTGTTTAAAGAGAGGCACGGTGCAAAAGGTTAGCCTGGTCATCAAAGAGGTGACTTCTGAGCTAAACGAGGAGCACATGACGAGCAATCGAAGCGCTGAACCGAATTCAGCTCGAGAAGATAGATTTGTATCGCAGTCATAGGAGGCTCTGTGTGAGTCCGGTAACCCTGTCTACGAGATTGCTCGAGAGTACGTAGACATATTCCCGGAAAAGATTCTGGCTGAACATTCTGCAGATCGTGGCGTGCGGTACGAGATTGATATCGTGCCAGGGTCAAAGTACTGTGTGACCCCGCAGTGACCGTTGCCTCGAGACCAGGTCGAGGCCATCATTGCATTTTTTTAAGGTCGTCGTACGGCGGGCTACGTGCGTGAGAGTATCTCATCACACTCGAGCCCGAACTTCTCTGTGAAAACGAATACGAGAGGATGGCTGATATTGCATGCGTTTGATAAGCTATACGATGCCACTATCCTCGCGCAAACGCCCATCACCAGAATAGACATAGTTTCTTACTACATGTCAGGAAGCGTCATTTTTAGCGCCATCAATTTGACCAATGCCTTCTACCAGATCTTGATGCGACAGAGTTACATACCACTCACTGTGGTGAGCACTCCGAGTGGTATGCTATGGAAGTGGCTGGTGATACCACAAGGATTGAAGAACGCACCAGCCACTTTCAATTGCATGGTGTCTCAAGTGTTGAGACCGCTTCGTGACTTTGATCCTAGCTACTTCGATCACATTAGCGTTCAAAGTTGCGCTGAGGGTAACCTCAGCACCGTACAAGTCCACCGTCAACACCTGAAGCAGGTGATCAAGTCATGCGGTAAACAAGTTATATGCAAACTTAAAAAATTGTGTATTCTGTGCAGCAAAGACTTCGGTGCTGGGTTGCTACGTGAGTAAATCGAAAGTTTGAGCCAATCCAGAGAAGGTGCCGTCTACCTGTTCTTGGTCCACACTCAAGAATTTTAAGGAGCTGCGTCAATGGCTCGACCTACCTAATCATTCACATGCGTATACAAAGGATTATGCTGGTTCTATACAGCCTCTGTCGTCACTGTTAACGAAAGACGCCACTTTGTCGTGGTGTCCCGAGCATCCTTAGGCGCAGTGAAGAAGAGTCTGGCGTCAGCGCCGGTACTAGTACTCCAGGACGACACCAAGCCGTTTCACGTGGGATGTGATGCAAGTGACCTTGCAATTGATTGCGCCCTCATGCGGTTTGATCATGAGGGCCGTGCAAGAGTCGTGAGTTACCAATCACGACAGATGAAACCGGCGGAGAAGAACTATCCAGTCCTCGAAAAGAACCTATTAGCTAAGCGCTACGCAATCATCAAGTATCGAGTGCATCTTCTAGGCAAACGCACTCCCGCCCTGTCTACTGATCATGCATCGCTGCGCACAGCGATAAAGAGCCCATACATGTCTTAGCGAATGGCACGATGGCTCTTTTTCTTCTCCGAGTACAACTTCGTCGTGCACTACGAGCCAGGAAAGACTGACATTCTTGCTGACGCGCTGTCTTGACGCCCGGATTACGACCCTCGGATGGCACTGAGTCATCAGGCTACTGACGACGAAGATGAGGACGATCGATGTGCGACGTGTGTGTCATTGAAATAAACACGAATCACAACCGAGTTATGCCTTTCCGATGAAACCGTTGCGGCTTACACGAACGATCCAGATAACGCGGACATTATTGCCTATCTGCCTGTTCCCAGTGATGATGCACTGGGAGCTCTTTCGCGAACGAAGCGTGATAACATCCAGCGATACAGTATGGATGGTGATTTGCTGTTATACAGCATCGATTCAATGCTCCTCGAACGGTAATCGCGAACGACTTGGATCTGCGTGCTTGCATCATCCACGAGTACTATAATGCCCCCAGCTGGCGGTCATTTGGGCCGCGAAAAGATTTTTGCGGCTGTGTCGCGTGACTTTTTGGGCCCCACAAGTTCTATTCGGTTCGGAACTGGATTCGCACATGCCAAATTTGTCAAAGAGTGAAGCCATCTCCATCTTTGCAGGCCCCCCTGCGACCCTTACAAATTGCAGCTGAGGCTTGACGCTCGGTTTCGATGGACTTTATCTTCGGGTAAGCACCCGACAATCGAAAACCCGAAACTGTATCCTGGTCTTTGTGGTAAAATTTAGCAAGGTGACAGACTTGGTGCCTGTTCATGCAACAATCACTGCGGCTGAGACCGCGGTGCGTTTAAACTGACACAGTATTTCGCCATCACGGTTTACCAGACGGCATTGTCTCGGACCGTGATTCTCGCTTCACATCTGCGTTCTAGACTTCTTTTTGTTTGAGCTCCTTGACAAGAAGTGGCATGTGTCAACGGCAGCCCGTCTGGAAACGGACGAGCAAACAGAGCGGATAAAATGAGTCCTCGAAGATGTTCTTTAAAGATATGCTACTTCCTTTACACGTTGGAGTGCATTCTGTCCACTCACTGAGTTTTCGCTCAAATACACTGTTCACGCATCAACGGGGCTAACGCCATTCTTTGCGAATTTAGCCCGTCACCCTCGAGTTCCTGATCTTCTTGCCGTGGGTGATCCCACGGCTGTTCGTGGCTCCACTCTGGAGGGGGGAGAAATTGACAATTAACGATCGAGTGCAGCTCACGGTATTCTAAGCGCTAATGAAGTCAACCATTCCAAGTCGAAGTCCGCTGTTATGACGCCACGAGACGTGGTGTCCCCGCTATTTCGATGGACTACGGAAACATTGATTGACCTTTTTTCGGGTTTGCGCTCACCTGAAGCCAACTACGCACCAATGGAGTCGGCGCGACCGATTGGATGACATGTCCGTGTCGGTGTTCATACTTCAACGTCAAGCGATAACTAGGTTTGTGCGAGATACTCTTCGTTCTGCAGTAAATAAGCAGAAAGAAGAAGCAGACAAACGTGGACGAAAGAACATGAGTACATTCAAGAAAGGTGACCTTGTGTTGCTATCTACTGAAGGTCTACGCGATTCTGCAGTTACCAATTAGGCACAAGTAAGCTCGCGCCACGATTTATTGGTCCATTCAAGGTGCTCAAGGCGATCGGCGACGTCTACACGCTGGTTTTTTTTTCGAAGTTGCGTGTACACCCGACTCTCTACGTCGGGCGACTAAAGAATAATAGTCCGGCTACGTTTCACGAGTTTCTTTCGACCCCGGAGGCAAAGGCTCAAACGTTGATCTTCCCTCCCGATTTGTTCAACGCGCCAAGAAAATCGGACGCGGCTGCGTTCCAGTATGCGCGTGCCCAAGAACCTGGCATTCCAGGTTCCGCATCCGTTCAAGCAGCTCGCGGTTCGACTGTCGAATATAGCTCGCTGTTCTCTCAGCCCGTGCAGCACACTCACTGGCAGTTTCAGCTTCCAGCTGGGCATAAACAGCCTTGTTTACCGCCGCATCTACATCGTCCTGGGCAACTAGGACGCCAGCATTACCATCGCGAGGACCCAACACCGCTTGTGGACGCGGAAGGTCAGAAGCGCTGGATAGCAGAACGTTTATTGGGTCACGAGGACCCTCGTCTCGAAACGACATCGTCGGAACTTAATGCGCGCGCAAGTATCGTGTACATTGGCTCGGGTTTCCACCCGAGCAGGATACGTGGTACCGCGCTCTTTGCTTCTTCGAGACGTTCCAGACGTCGTTCGGGCATACGAGTCCGTGCATACGCTTGGTTTAGTTTTGTTCGACGACCTGAGTGTTCTCGCGGTGAGCGTGCATATGCTTACTTAAAATTTGTTCGACGATCTGAGTGTTCTCGCGGTGAGCGAGAACGAGACGTACGACAACTGTGTCGTGGTAAAGCGTCACCACGACTACGAGACCAAGAGAGATTGCAAGAACGTCGCGATAAAACGTCACCACGACGACGAGATGTAGAGCGACAACGAGAACGTCGTGGTGAAAGTGTATTTCCACGACCACGAAAACGAGAACGTCGTGGCGAGCGCGTGGCATCACGTCCCCGAGAGAGCAATTGGTGTCGCCAGCTTGACGCACCATGATTAATCGCGATCTTACGCTCTATCACGATGCGCTCAGACCGTCGGATCCATCACGTGGTCTATCGAGCTCCCGCTGACAGTGCGCGGGAGTGATGTGGTGTTGGCGTTTGCGTCTTCAGTCATCGTTTGGCTTGTGCGTCCGTTGGATCTTGTAGTTGAGCACTCACGGTTCGTGAGTGCTGTCTTTAGAAGGGGGTGGTGTAATGGGCCACCCCATTACATAAGTAGTTTTGATTAAGTTTACATGTTACCTAAGTAGGGTTGCTACTCTCGAGGTAGCGGAAGTAGCACGTCGTATATTTTAGCTGGTGTAATGGGCTCAGTCCCATTATTAGCCAGAAAAGTATAGACACGTAGATTAAGTAATTCCCATGAGTCCAAGAGAATCATTCGTACTTGGGATGATTAAAAGACAATTGATGAAAACAGAGTTAAAAGTACCTAAAACCCAAGACTTGGGCTTTGAGGCTTCCTCAAAGCGTTATCAATAGAGTAAGCTAAGTACGGGTTGTTCTAGCCCCTTTACACGTCTTAAAACAACACATCCAACCCTTTACGCTATCCCTCGCTAAACCCACTGCAGCAAAAGTCATATACTCAACAAGCCACGATGTCTCTTTGCGCTTTTGAAATGTAGAATCAGGAAAAGAGCTAACGTCATGAACGCGAGCCAGATATAGATTGACTTTAAGCAGTGATGATGCTCTCTAGCCACGGCAAATCGCAAAATCTACACTAAGTGTTTTATTCAAGACCAGTTTACATGGTGACATACGGGCAACTAAATCCAGTAAAAAACGACTTTGCATTCTTCTCACCTCTGAACTTCTATATATAGCATAATACGGAAATGCTTTGATTTTTTAGCTACTTCTCAGTTCTCCGATACATGTATGTATGAACAGGTTTGCATTACGGGAGTACGGATTTGGAACGGGGCAAGCTTGTTGCATTCAATCTACACGCAAAAATATCTATTTAGAACATCACTGTGAAAGTTGTTAATGTTCATAAATATCACCATAAGCGATGCATTCAGAAGCACTTACCTATTGACTGATATGGGTCATCATATCAGTCAGCTCTAACAGTCCAATTCGTGATTGCGCAATGAGTGGTGAGAAAAAGCTGTGCATACATTTTATCAGGTAAATATAATCAAGTTAGGATCTGATGCATAGGATAATGACTAGGACGTTATTACAATCGACTGAGTTTTACTTTCTACTTCTACAGACCGCGTCGTTTAATTCTAGCCTTTCTCTGCACGTACGGTGTACGCGAAGTGAAATGCGGCACTTCTTCCACTGCTTCGGTCTAAATTGAATGGAGCTGCGTTAGTACGAGTCGCCAGTGTCTGATGCTCCTGGTCGCACTGGGTAGTCCGTCCAAGGACCTAAAACCCTGCATGCAACATGAACAGGTTGGATGATGATAGTGACAACATTCATACCACGCGTGAAAGCTACTACTGTCTAAGTAACATCGAATGGAGTGTGGTATAACGGCTGGATTGGAACGTCGGCGAACACACCGCCTATGACATTCTACACACTGATTATAGACGATCACAATGCTGCCACCGAAGTTCATACAACATGAACTTGACGAGTCACGGGAGAAAGAAACCTTGCTGTACCAGCAATGTTCTCAACAGACAGAGCTGTTAAGAAACCAGGGTGATCAACAATAAAATTGCGGAGACAACAGCAGGCGTAAACTGCTCTACCCGGTTCGACGCACGCACGTCGACCCGAAATATTAAGGGTTGACATCCCTCAGTACAGAGGAGTCGAGCAAGACTCCCTGCTAAGATGATTCGTCGATTCAGATGACGCCATTCCTTTTTGTCACATCGCTTGTGAGCATATGCGTCTTGCATTTCCTCAGTAAAAATTTGCTGGGCGTGCCAAAACATGGGTGCTAGGTCTGAAGTTGCACGACTAATTCGTGATGGGTCATTGAATGTCTCTATGGCCCGTATTATGAAACGTACGAGCTACCACAGGGTGAGTTCAGGGCTCGATTGAAGCTCCTGAAACTTAAGGAGGGGTAGCGATATGTGTACGCTCACGCCCAACAAATGTAACTCCCTGCGAGCTGTACTGGCCAACCCAGTTTTTGCGCACACGTTGATTACGGTGTTCAAGCAGGGTGTTGCGAATGTTCTCGTCAAAAACCACCTATTCGGCTTGGAACTGGATATTCTAGAAGATGCGACATCAGTTGCAGAATAGAAAGACTACAGACTGAAACAGGATCATGCTAGTTTGGGTTCATATCATCCCCCAAGACAAAAAAATGTCGGAGGTTTAGAACTTGTGTACCTATGTTACGTAGTTAAACGAATACAAAAAATGCAATCGCTGTCAGAAAGTATGAATCTATGATCACGAGTGTAGTTCTATACGCTCAGTGAATCGAAATACTGAGCCAGCCAATCGACCGTCCGCCTATAAAGGTGACGTAAAAATAGTTCCAGCGTTGTTGCGAAATCATAAAAGTGGAATGGACCATAAGAAACGGGGAGGGTACTAGGGGCGGAGCGCCCTACTGATTGAACAACCTCAAGATAATTTATGAATTTCTTGACTAAAATGGCTCCAGGCTTACAATCACTGTGTACACCTGCACTTGATGATGAGGTACGCCTCATCAACTTGAAGTTGGTAGGGACAGCATTTTTGTCACTTGATGCCCTTGTAGACTGTGGGGCGTCGAGCAACTTTGTTCGTCGCCAGTTTCTAGAGTATCGTAGGTTTAATTTTGCTAAGCTCGATACCCCTTCGACGAGAATGACGGTGCGCCTAGCAACAGGCGCATCAATAACATTGATAAAACGTGTAATGGGACTTTCAGTCATCTTGGATCAGAAGATGCGAGCCAAGGGTAGGCCGGTAGCATTGAATTGTGAAGATGCCTGCTGCTTGTTTATTAGATGGCCATCTGATGAACGTCTTGGAGATTTTACAAGCGTGAATTACTGCGAGTGAGTGCGATTGCCTACTTGTGGTACGGTCGATAGTGCGACTGCACAAGATTGCAGTGGGGCAACCAATCACACTGTGTAGGAAGCTGACGGCGGCTGTGCGGATGCACAGGGAGCGACGAAGGTCCACCACTCGAAGTCGTCGAGTGGATAGGGACATGGGTGCATGCCTAGCAGGTGATTTACAAGAAAGAATGCACCGGTTGCCCACCCTTAGTTACACGATTGTACTGGGTCGACCGTAGAGGACCTGGCTGTGGTATCGCAACCACATCTCGAAGACGTTGAGGTAAGAAGTTCCCACGTACTTAAGACAGAGATCCCTCGAGCTGCTGTTAATGGACTAATGAGACCTTATCCATCTAAGCGAATGAGTTCCCAAAAACGTATGGACGTATTATCCAGAAAAGAAACCGAGACCTTCCATGTATTGATTAATGACGGGTCAAGTTTAGGCGCTAAAACACTTGATCGGATAGAGCCTAAAAAGTTGACTTTGCAAGTCACCTAGCTAGCTACGCAAGAAACAAAACGGTTTTTACTAGATCTGCGTATTGACAAGTTCAAGCAGATCAGCGTATGTGTTTCAAAGGACGAGGAAGTGACCAACATTCGGTTGGTAGTAGTACTCGCCGAAAATAAACTGGTTCGTAGCAGCTCATTGATGGATGACAATGTCCTCGATGAAATGACTCGAATTTAACCATAAATTGTCTTAATCTTGGGAGTAGCTTCAGGCCAATACTTTATTTGAGAATTTGATCTGATTCAATGACGTTTTCCCTAAATCCGTACCATTCAAATTGCCTTAAGGACAGTCCTCGAAATGAAATGAGTTCAAACCGGGCTCGAAGTACTGAGTCATTAAGTATTTATTAACTGCCTCTTGAACATTACTAGCGATCGACAAGCTCTTTTACGATCTCTTTGTTGCGGGCCATGTCAGGGAGTCAACTTCCCCTCACAGCTCTCTGACATTCTGTGTGCGAGGAGTCACCTGGGAGTGGCGGATAGTGCACGTGCCAAAAAGCTGAATGCTGTAACGGTACCGGCTCAGACGCAGATACCGAGGAAGGACGTAATCATAAATGGCAAGTCAAAAATTCCATCTTCTCGTCCATGGATACGATGGGTGGATTATATCAGATCCTCATTTGCGAAAGAGACATCCCGTTTTCAGAAATGAGCACACCAAGCAGTATGATCTGGTGGTATCTAGCAATGCCATAAGATCTTCACAACGTACCTGCCACATTCAACAGATTTGTTACAAATTTGTTATAACCAGTGCGGGAACTCTCAACGAGTTTTTTTTTTAGTTTATAGCTGGGATATGGGCGGAAAGAATGACGTAAAAGATCACGGAAGTCACGTTCGTCAGGTCCTTACACTTATGCGTAAGCATAGATTTTACATTAACCTCAGAAGTGAAGATTCGCTGCAAGCGAATTACCACCATTTGGGTGCATTGTGGGTAAACACGGCGTACGCCCTAATCCCAAAAAGAACAACATGATCACCGAACGAAGTGAACCGGATGA